CCCATCCTCAGCCTTCCTGTGTCCCCACCGCAGCTGGCTCCCTGAAGAACCACCAGGAGGTGGACATGAACGTGGTGAGGATCTGCTTCCAGGCCTCCTACCGGGACCAGCAGGGACAGACGCGGCGGATGGACCCTGTGCTCTCCGAGCCCGTTTATGACAAGAGTGAGTGCAGGGTGCTGTGGCAGTTAGGATTGTCCTTGGCAGCAGGGATCAGAAAGCCCTCCTTAGTGTGGCATGAACAGACAGGGAATTATTATTTATTTGTCTCACTGACTAAGTTTGTGCACATTGGTTTAGCTGCTTAACATCATGAAATTTCCACAGCTCTGTGACTCTCAGCTTTTCCTTCATGGTCACAAGATGACTGCCACAGCTCCAGACATCATATTTGTGTTCAAGACATGATATAGGCAGCATCACCCTGTGTGGTTGTACAGATTGCACCCTGCCTATTTTGGGGGATCAGCATTTACTGTGTAGCTTATGAAAATGGCACTTCCTGATTTTGAAAATGCACAACAGTGACCCCATAGAGCCCTAGGGAAGAGGCATCACAAAGAATAATACCTCTTTCTCTTTTTTAAATTTATTTTTTAGATTTAGGTGGATACAGTATCTTTATTTTATCTTTATGTGGTGCTGAGGATCGAACCCAGTGCCTCATGCATGCTCTGCACTGAGCCCCAGCCCCAGCTCCATACCTCTTTCTTTAGTAGATAAAAAGTTTATATTCTCCAGAATCTCCTTGGTAGTCTTCTGCTCATGTCTCATTGGTTAGAACTTGGTCCCATGGCCATACCGAGTTGCAAGGGAATTTGGGTATGTAAGTATACAGGCTTTTCAACCTGAATAGAGGGGTACAGACTGGAAGAGGGGCTTGGGAATAGCTGTTCGGCTTTAGCCAACCTACAGGGACTGCCACAGCATCTAAATGAGGAAGGACAAGCCAAGCACAGTGGTACATGCCTGCAATTCCAGCAACTTGGGAGGCTGGGGCAGGAGGATTGCAAGTTTGAGGTCAGCCCTAACAACTTAGTAAGATGGTCAGCGACTTACTGAGTCCCATCTCAAAAAAAAAAAACAGTGAAGGGTTGGGGATATAGCTCAGTGGTTAAGCTTCCCTGGGTTCAATCCCCAGTACCAAAAACAAACAAACAAAACAAACAAACAAACAAAACACCCAGTACAGGACTAGCACAGTGCTTCAGGTCTGGTTGCATTCAGACCCCACGGTGTCACTGGGGGGTCCATCTGGTTCTGTCCCCCAGTTGTGTTAGAGTCCATCCTGCCAGGGTCTTCCAGGGCTGTGTGCTGATACCTCTCCTGCACTCCAATGAGAGCTTTTAGCGTCTCTCACCCAAATTTCTTTTCAATATTGAGAATTGAACCCAGAGATGTTCTACCATGGAGCTACATTTCCAGCCCTTTTTTATTTATTTTATTTTGCTACAAAATCTTGCTGTGTTGCCCAGGCTGGCCTCAAACTTGCCATCCTTCTGCCTGGTTCTTTCCTAGTATTTTTGCTAAAAAATCTCAGGGCTGTCTCTCATTGGCCTGCGTTTGGTCATTTGCTCCTCCTTGACAATCAACTGGGGGTAGGGGAGGTGATGATCTGATTGGCCGATCTGGGGCATGTGATCACTGCTGAGCTGGTGAAGGGACTCAGTCCTACCCAATCTCCTTGACTGAAATGGCCAGGGGCAGAGGGAGGTGTGTCTTGAGGGAAAGTGGTGTCCCCAAGAGGACTCTTCACAGAAGAAGGGCTGGGACTGCTGGGCAGGCAGAGCAGCGGCACTGTAGGACTTCAGGCCGCTGGCCGACCAGTGGCCTCTTCCTCCACCTGGACAGGCGCCCTGCCTCCTTCGTCTCCTGCCTTCCCACTGACACCAGGTGGAAAGGTGCCTGGATTCTTGTTTTCTCTTATTGGCCTCTTCCTCTCCCTCCTCCCCAGAATCCACGAACACATCCGAGCTGCGGATCTGCCGCATCAACAAGGAGAGTGGGCCGTGCACGGGGGGCGAGGAGCTCTACCTGTTGTGTGACAAGGTGCAGAAAGGTGAGGGCCTGGCTGTGAGCCCGGGGGAGGGGGCTGGGGGTGTGGTTAACCAGGATGGCAGCCTGGAAAGATCCAGAACCCTGGCTTTGGGGTCAGATGGCACAGGCAATGGGTTCATCCTGGCACCTGTCCCTGAGCGAAGGTGGTGGCCTGTGAGTGGCCCAGGCTGGGTATCTGGCAGCGTGGCCATCACTCGGCTCCCCATCCAGGAGACTCTGATCTTGGTGGAGAAATTGACTACGTGCTTTAGGAGGGGCAAGTGGGAGGCGCCGGCCCAGCACAGGCAAGACCCAGGGACCCTTATGACAGTTGTGGTAAAGGATGCTAAGAAAGAAAACCGGACAAAAGAAGTTTCTTGCATTTGCATCTATTCAAATGTCCCTTGCTCAAATAGGCTTCAAAACAAAACCCAAAAAAACTAAAAACTAAAAAAAAAACAAAAAACCCTACTTTCACCCAGAAGCACCCAGCTAAGGAGAGGGCCAAAGGCTGTCTGCCCTTGTGCTGGATTCATTTTTTCTATATCTTCTCCCATTTCTCTCTCTCTCTCTCTCTCTCTCTCTCTCTCTCCCCTCACCCCCACCCTCTCTCTTTCCAGTACTGAGGGTTGAACTCACACATGCTAGGCAAGCGCTCTACCACTGAGCCACGTCCCCAGCCCCTTTTACTTTTTATTTTGAGACAGGATTTTACTAAGTTGCTGAGGCTGGCCTTGACCGTACCATCCTCCTGCCTCAGCCCCCTGAGTAGCTGGGATTCCAGCCCCCGTGCTGGGATTCTTTTACATTTTCCATCATGTGACTATATCATAAATAGCATCACCACCAACAATAATGACATCTGTCTCTCTCTCTGTTTTTTGTGGTGCTGGGGATGGAACCCTGACCCCACCTGCATCCTCAGGGTGCACTCAGCCACCAGCTACATCCTTGGCACACGACATTGCCGTGTTCTAACTACATGCCAAGCTTGGCTGCGTGCACTTGGTGTGCATGGTTTATTAAGTCATCCAGTCACCTCACCAGGGTGGCAGCCTGGAAAGATCCAGAACCTATGAGGCAGACCTTGTTATTATTCCCCATTTAATAGATGAGGAAACGGAGGCATGGAAAGGTTAAGTAACTTGCTTGAGGTGACACAGCTGGTCAGGTGGAGACAGGATTTGAATTTAGAAAAGAAGACTCTGAAAAGAACAATCCTTCTACCATCAGCGTTTCTTCTAGGAGGAAAAATAAAATATAGAGTTGGAGAAAAATCACAGGAAGTTGGTAAAAATAATATTTAGTACTTTTTTTTTCAAATGAGGGAAGGAAGCAGATTTGAAAAAACATCTGGAGAAAAGTCATTTTCCAGAGTCGTGTTTGAGGCGATGGTGATGATCATAGCACTGATCGTGACAACAGTCATGCTCTTGGCGTCCTGGGCCGACTCACGTGCTCTTCTCAGCAACCCCTGAGGTCGTCTGACTTTCCTGTCACAGCGAGGAGACTGCTCTCAGCAAAGCCACTGCCTTCCTCGGGCCCTGGCAGAGCTGGTGGGAAGAGCTGTGGCATCCTGGGTCCCCATTGAGGCTCCACTGCTCGCTGATCGTGTGACATTGGACAGATGACTTCACCGCTCTGTATCTTTATCTCCTTCTCTATATAACAGGGTACCTAATGGCACCTTCTTCATAGGGTTTTTGTGTGACACAGAGCAACCTGTATGTATCTGTCACCTAGAACCTCAGCACTGGCTGCTGGTGTGTCGAGAGGCAATTCAGTGAGATACGAAAAAGAAACAGGCAGGCGTCTCGTGAGCCCGACTTCCCACGAGCAGCTGTGGGACGCCTCAGTGCCTCCAAGCCTTGGTTTTCCCGTTCTGACGAGGGTGTGCAGAAAAGAGTGCACATTGCAGATCTGAGACCTCTGTCCTTCAAAAGCTCTTCTTAGAGCTGAGTGCAGTGATGCACATCTGTAGTCCAGTGACTCAGGAGGCTAAGGCAGGAGCACCTCAAGTTCAAGGCCAGCCTCAGCAATTTAGTGAGGGCCTCGGCGACTTAGTGAAACTCTGCCTGAAAATGAAACAAGTAGGGCTGGGGTTGTGGCTCAGGGGCAGAGCGCTTGCCTACCACAAGTGAGGCACCGGGCTCGACCCTCGGCACCACATTAAATAAATAAATAGAGAAATAAAGTTAAAAGAAAAAAGTAAAAAGGGTGGGAATGTAACTCTGTAAGTCGCCCCTGGATTCAATCCCCAGTACCAAAAAAATAAAGTAAAAAATAAAAAGGGGTGGATGGGGGTGTTGCTTGGTGGTAGAGCACCCCTGGGTACCATCCTCAGTACCACAAAAATAATAAACAAAGAAACAAAATAACTTAAATAACTAGCTCTGCTCCCAGAGGTTCTGGGAACATGGGTTTGGGGAGGTTCCCACCTGTCCTAGTGGCCAGGAGTGGCCTGTCACGCCAGGCAGACATGGGGGCTGAGCTTCCTCAGTGGATGTGTTGCTTCAGTTTGTTGCTGGGGGGCTCCCGTGTGGTCCCTGTGACTGCTCAGGGGAAGGACTCTTGGCACCTTGTGCCTGGTTCCCCCTGGACTGCGCTGCAGGCACCAGCACCCTGTCACTATACCCTGTCACTATAACAGATCACAGCCATGGACATGGCCGCCCATTGAACTCTGCAGGTCCTCAGAGTCCATGGCTCAATCTGAACATGGTCGTGGGGCCCTCTGACATTGTGGGGACAGTGATTTTCCCTGCTTCTTGTGTTGCCCTAGGGATCAGATGAGATAACTTAGGATGCTCAATTTAGGATTTTTGACTCTAGAATGATGTTGTGAAATTAATATACGTTAAGTAAGCTGGGAGCGGTGGCGCACGCCTGAGATCCCAGCAGCTCGGGAAGCTGAGGCAGGAGGATCTCGAGTTCAAAGCCAGCCTCTGTGAGACCCTGTCTCTAAATAAAATACCAAATAGGGCTGGGCATGTGGCTCACTGGTTGAGTGCCCCTGAGTTCAGTCTCTGGTACCTCCACCCAGAAAATCAGCTGTAGCTCCTGCTCAGCCCCACGGTCACAAGGGGAAAATACCAACAGGCCAAGTGTACCGATGCTAAGCTACGGTGCTTCATAGTTTAACTACAGTCAATGCCTTTTCTTTTTATTTATGTGATTTTTGGTGCTGGCAATTGAATCCAGGGGGACTTCACCACTGAGCTACATCCCCCGCTCTTTTTTGTTTTGTTTTGAGAGAGGGTCTTGCTAAGTTCCCCTGCCTGGTGTTGAACTTTTGATCCTCCAGAGTGGCTGGGATTACAGGCCTGAGCCTCCCTGCCTGGCCTGGGGCATTTTTGACCTGAGATATTTTCAGCTCTGGTGGGTTTGCTGGGATGTAATGCCATCGTAAGCCAAGGAGCATCTGCATATGAAAATATATGAACTACTTAGTGACTGACTGGCCCACGGGACGTGCTCAGGTGAAAGCTACCTGCCAGGTGATTAGCTTCACGTTGGGAATATGAGGGCTGATTTTGAGGGAGGCTGAGCCGGTTCAGCTCAGAGGGCACCCATCCCCACTGGCATCTCCTTCTCCCTCCAGAGGACATCTCGGTGGTGTTCAGCACAGCCTCCTGGGAAGGCCGGGCCGACTTCTCCCAGGCCGACGTGCACCGCCAGATTGCCATCGTGTTCAAGACGCCGCCCTATGAGGACCTGGAGATCGTGGAGCCCGTGACTGTCAACGTCTTCCTGCAGCGGCTCACGGACGGGGTCTGCAGCGAGCCGCTGCCCTTCACCTACCTTCCTCGGGACCATGGTAACCACGGCTCGCCCGGGTGACCCACCGGCCAGCTCAGCCTGGCCAGGGATGAAGCAGACCAGGAGGAGGCAGAAATGGGGGGGGCTGCCTAGCTGGGGGCGCTGCTGCCTCCTGGCTCTGTGACCGTGGCCTCGCAGGGCTGCAGCCCTTCCCTGTGCAAAACAGACACGGTACCTGTCACGGGGCGTTAGGGTTTTCTCACGCATTCCCTCAGCCTCTCTGCTCAGTGTGGCCCTATGCTGGCTTGTGCTGGGGACACAGCAGTGACCAAGAGAGCCCCTGGCACTTCCCTCATGAGGCTTACAGTCCTTTGATGGGAGAACAGCTCTTCCCCACAGTGATGGTCAGAGTCACTCGACTGGAATGGGGTGGCTTGGGGACTCGGGCACCTGCTCAGCCTCAGGGGTCAGGGAGAGCAGCTGCGCCGAGGACACAGGAAGACTAATGGGTGGGAGTTGAGGAGAGCATGTTAAGCAGTGGAAACAGCAAGTGCAAAGGCCCTGGGCCAGACTGTGTTTGGCATGTTTGGGAACAACAAAGAGGTGGGTGTGCCGGAAGTGAATTTAGATTTTATTCTGATTGGGATGTGGATATCTGTTTGCATTGGTTGGTCAAGAACCAGCTGAAACTCTTCCTAAATGGTGTAAGATTAATTATTGCTTTGCTACTGTGGCTGATGGATTGTTCTTTGCCCCGCCCCTGTGTCTCTAACAGACAGCTACGGTGTGGACAAGAAGCGGAAACGGGGGCTGCCCGATGTCCTCGGGGAGCTGAACAGCTCTGGTGTGTTCCCTGTGCCCCCTTCCACACCCATCCCCAGGACCTTTGGAGGGGATGGCTGATCCCACTGTCCTTCCCTGACCCACAGTTGAGGGGTCCTTATCTCTGTTTCCCCTTCCTTTAGACCCCCATGGCATCGAAAGCAAACGACGGAAGAAGAAGCCAGTCTTCCTGGACCACTTCCTGCCCAGCCACGGCCCAGGTGGGTCCCGGCTTCCTGCGAGCCTCTGGCCCTGGGATGGGCTGAGGAAGCACGGCAGCCCTGCTCCTCCAGCAGCTCCCCCGGCCAGTGCTCACCACAGAGCCGGCCACAGCAAAGGAGAGGAATAGGTTCTGGAGACAGAGTGGAGGCAGCCACGCCAGGCGGTGGTGCAAGTCTATGATCCCTAGGACTCGGGAGGCTGGGGCGGGAGGATCTCGAGTTCAAAGCCAGCCTCAGCAATGGTGAGGCGTTAAGCAACTCAGTGAGACCCCGTCTCTAAATAAAATACAAAACGGGCTGGGGATGTGGCTCAGTGGCCAAGTGCCCTGAGTCTAATCCCTAGTACCAAAAAAAAAGGAGGCCGCCATCCCATCCCTGCTGGGCAGATGATTTGCTGTGTGACCTATGGCAAGTTTCTCCCCCTTTCTGTCTCAGGGGCTCCTCTGTAGTCTCACTATGTACTCACCTCGCTGAGCTTTTCAAATTTAATGTGGAGGATGGCCATCCTGAATGTGCTGCTCTGTTCAGTCTCACAGTAGCTGGATAGAAGACTGCCCTGGAAACCCGGTGCTCTGGGCTGAACAACAACAACAGAATTTTGGAAACAGAATCTCACTAAGTTGCCCAGGCTGAATTCATGGTCCTCCCTTCTCAGCCTCCCCAGTAGCTGAGATTACAGGCATGCACTATCACACCTGGCATAAAAAAATTTTTTTAAAGTGTTTATCTTTTTACGGACATTGTAAGAGAGCCCTCAGTGCTCAGTATGGGCTACTCATTTAGTCTGCACAGTCATCCTGTGAAGGAGGTTCTGTCATTCCACCCATTTTATAGGTGAAAAAACCGAGGCCTAGAGAGACAAAGTCTCTTACCTGAGGTCACCATGTGTCAGATCTGCAGTGGATCAGGGAGTTGGAAGACTGGGCATCTGTATGGAGGGATGATGTGGGTGCCCCATGTATTGGATGGTACATCAGCTGTGGTGGATGCAGCCAGCCAATCTCAAGTTCAGGCCCCTCTCCATCCTGGCCACCCTCTGGGCTGTGCTACTGCTGCCTTCATCTCAGGTCACACGCCAGCTCCAGGTCTCACCACTCCAATCCTAACTGGCTGCCATCCAAAGAAGCCTTCCCACCCCTGACCCACTGAGCCCCAGCTCTAAAAAAGCTTCCTGCCAAACACCCAGCCAGTCCAGGGCACCCAGCCCTGAGCCAGCCACCAACCACTCAGAGGCTGCTGAGCCCGGGGCACTCCAGCCAGTCCCACCCTGGAAGTCAGCAGTACTACAGGTTGTCCCCACCCTCTCTCAGCTTGTAACCAAGGCCCAACAGCTCCAGCCCTAGCAACCACCAATCCCAGCGCACTCCGCCAACCTCTCTGGTCCCCAGAGCTCTCTGCCATTCATCCATCTGATCCGTTTCTCTCCCTCATTCCTGAGGCAAAGCTACCGTAGCACTAGGGTAATGGTTAGGAGCACAGCCTGAGGAATTACTCTGGGTTTGAATTGGGTCCTCAGTTTTGCAGCTTTGTGACATCTATGCCTCAGTTTGCTTGTCTGTTAGATGGCGATTCTACCTCATGCTATAGGGCTAGAGCGTGTCACAAAGCTAAGGCATCCTCTGTCCCCGGTTCTCATGATTATGCCAGAAAGATTTCAGAAATATCACCCAGAAGCAGGCATGAGTTTATAAGAAGGGACAGGAGAAGGGGAAGGGGACACTCTCAAAGGAGAGGGTAGGTCCTCTCAGAGAGGAGGTGGATGGTACACCCATCCTGCCCTACAGTTTTATTGGGAACCAGGAAGTTTTTAGAGTCCCCCCTGCCCCCCACCCCTGTCCACCTCTTGGCTTTTGTTTTGTTTTTTAAGTTATTGATAGATCTTTATTTATATGTGGTGCTAAGAATCAAACCTAGTGCCCCACACATACCAGGCAAGTGTGCCACTACTGAGCCACAACCCCAGCCGTGACTTTTTATTTTAACTTCATTTATTTTTTTCTGTGGTGCTGAGGATTGAATCCTGCAACCTCAGGTGTGCTAGGCAAGTGCTCTACCACTGAGCCACAACTCCAGCCCACCTATTTTAATTATTTATTGTGGTGCTGGGAATTGAACCCATGGCCTTGTGCATGTGAGGCAAGACTCTACCAACTAAACAGTATCCCCAGCTCTACCTCTTGATTTTTGATGGACGGCAGGATGACTTTTAAGTCCCCATTGCACATGGTAAAGTTCCAAGGCAACTCTGAGTCACTTTGACCCTTGCTGACCAGTTCTAATTGGAACTTGTTCTTATAGATTTTATGGTTAGGGGCAATTATTCTTATCTCCCTGTGTTCTGTGTAAAGGTCACAAAAATCTACCCACCCCCCCAGGGTAACTTGTGTTCTTATCAGCATTTCAGGCCTGCATTTCCCGTGCAGGTTATAGGTTGTTTCTGAGGAATATAACATATCCTATGAACTTAAGCCAGACAGGGTCACGGGTAAATTGTGTTTTAAAAGCAAGCATGGGCCTGGCACCATAGTGCAAGCATGTAATCTCAGTGGCTGGGGAGGCTGAGACAGGAGAATCCTGAGTTCAAAACCAGCCTCAGCAATGGCAAGGTGCTAAGCAACTCAGTGACTCTAAAAAAATTCAGAATAGGGCTGGGGATGGGGCTTAGTGGTTGAGTGTGTCTGAGTTCAACTCCCAGAACCCCCGCCCCCAAAACAGCAAGCATGTGGGGTCAGCACAGTGGGCCCAATTTATAGAATTATTCCCTTAAGCTGGTGTTCCCATCACTTGCGTCTGTTACCTCTCACTGTTAAGGTCCTTGTCAGAATTTAGTGAGATCATGTCATAGTTATTTATTACAGTAGTATGTTAGGAATTTGCTAGAAATCAGGAATGCCACGTGCATTTGTTATGGTCATATTTAACTGCATTCATATCAAAACCCAAAATAAAAGGAGCTTTAACAGGATAGAACTTGGGGCTGGGGCTCAGCGGTACAGCACTTGCCTAGCATGTGTGAGGCATTCGGTTTGAGTCTCAGCACCGCATATAAATAAATGAATGAAATGAAGGTCAATCAACCACTAAAGAAAAGATTAAAAAAAAAAAAAGAACTTCTTCTCTCACATAAAGAGCACAATGGTAGCTCTCTTAGTATGATCTGGTGGCTACAAGGTCATCAGAAACCCAATCTCTTGACATTTTCAATTTGCAGTTTCTACCTTCTGCCCAGGTTCCACTTAGTCCCGTGTCCACATTAAGCTGTATGGGATGTGGGGACTATGACTAGGTCTAGTCTCTTTTTTTTTTTCTTTTCTTTCTTATGGTACTGGAGATTGAACCCAGGGGTGCTTAACCACTGAGCAACATCCCCAGCCCTTTTTTGTATTTTATTTAGAGATAGGGGCTCGCTGAGTTGCTTAGCACCTTGGTAAGTTGCTGAGTCTGGCTTTGAACTCCCAATCCTCCAGCTTTAGCCTCAGAGCTGGGGGGATTACAGGTGTATTAACCTTTGTTGATTAGGTTTGTCTTATCCGAAAAAGAGGAAGACAGGTTCCAATAATACTTATCATTTCACTTTCCATCTTGGGGACTGATAATTTAGAAATCTCACTGGTGTGGAGATCTTGCTTCATTGAAGGTGGCATAGCAGCTCCTCCCTTTCCACATTCTTGGTGAAAACTGCTCACAGCCCTGCAGGAGTGTGGGTTTGGTCCTGGTTTCCCAACTAGACAGCTTTGTGTGACTTACAGTTATTTTGTCTCAGTTTCAGTTTGCTTATTGTGAGAATGGTGATAGCCTCTACCTCAACAATGCATTTAGTATGGGGTGTTGTGTCTGCATTAGTGTTATGCCAAAAGTTGGCCCTAAGTCCGCTGCACTTCTCTTCTCATCCTCTAGGCCCGTACCTCCCGCCCTCAGCCCTGCTGCCCGACACAGAATTCTTCCCCAGTACCGTGTCCCTGCCCGGCCTGGAGCCTCCCTGCGAGCCTGACCTCCTGGATGACAGCTTTGCCTATGACCCCACGACCCCCATGTTCTTCACCATGCTGGACCTGCTGCCCCCAGCGCCGCCACTTGTCAGCTCTGCCCCCGCCAGCGGGGGTGCAGGGGTCGCAGTCGGGGAGCCCCCTGGCCCCGAGCCACTGACGCTGGACTCCTACTCAGCCGCCGGCCCGGGGGACGGAGGCACCGCTAGCCTCGTGGGCAGCAACATGTTCCCCAATCAGTACCGCGAGGCAGCCTTCGGGAGTGGCCTCCTGTCCCCGGGGCCTGAAGCCACGTAGCCCGCGGCGCCAGAGGAGAGGCACTAGGTGGGGAGTAGCTGGAGGGACCCTGCGAACCCGGCCAAGGGTCGGTCCAACGCCCCCATCCTCCTGGGCCCTTGGTCAGCCTTCGACCTCGGTATTAATCGGACATCCTCAGCGTGGCGAGAAGCTCGGCAGCACTGGTCTCCCCTTGATCTTATTTTACAAAAGAGAAAACGGAATCGGGAGAGAGAAAGGGGCGCGGCCCGGGTGAGACGCCCACCCGTGGGGGGTACCTTCTCTGGACGTTTCCCGAAAATGAACTCTACAGGAGTAAGGAGGCAGACCGGCGGCCCCTCCCCAGACCTGACAGTGGGCGGGCATTTTCCCAATAAAAATGTTGATTCTTGGGGGTTCCTTGTCTCCGCTTGGGAAACACCGAGCGTGTCGGGCAGCCGAGCCTGGGGGACCTCCTCTGCCGCCTCCGGGCCCCGCCCACCCAGGGCGCGCCCGCCCCAGCGCCGGCGGAAGTGCGTTCGCGACGTACCCGCACCCCTTTGCACGGCTCCCCATTTCCGTTTCCGGTGCGGGCCGCGCGCGAGCGCAAGAGTGGGAGGCGGCGACCAGCCGGTGAGTGCAGGCGTCGGGCCCCGACCACCTTGGCTTTCGGGCGGCGCCAGCCTAGCTGTTCCCCGGTCTCGGGCTCTCCTGGTGGCGCTGTGGGGTCCCGCCGGGCCTGTGCTCCGACGGCCCTCTGCCCGCAACCCCTTCGTCCTGACGGGACGTCAGGCCGCGCCCCTGGCCGGACGGGGGCCCGATTCGCGTCGTCCAACTCGGCCCTGACCCGGGCCACAAGTTCAGTCGCCACTCGTGGGCTCCTCCCCTGTCCACACACACTGACCCCGACTCGGCCCACCCTCTCCCGGCAGCCACCTCCTTCCGGGCATTTTACCTGGATTCCCCTCCCTCCACACAGCCCTTCTTTACCCCTCAGCCCTACTCTCTCTGAGCAGACCCCACGTTCCCCCTCCCTCCAGCAGCATCGTCCATCCACGCCCTTCACCTGACCTCGACCCCCGCCTGCCCGCCACGCCAATGTTCCGGTGAAATTTCGCCCTTCCTCCACCTGCTTTCGTCCGTGTCACTTGCAAGCCCGTCCCCGCACCCAGCCCCACGGGTGGCCCCTCTCAGAGCCCTTTCAGGTCAGAGCCCTTCAGCTCTTCCCCTGGGCATCAGCCCTAGCTGCTCGGGGTCTGCCTCAGACATTCCGTTCCACAACCTTTCATCCCCACTCTGTGCATGGAATCTAGGACACTCCTTCCCTGAGATGCTCTCACCAGACACCTAAGGCGCTTTCAGAATGCTCAAGCTCCTGGGTCCGAGCTGTCAAGGATACACTTGAGCATCAGGCCCGTAGATCCCGGCCTCACTTCTCTTCCCCCTAAGCCGAGACATGGCACCACTTGTTAGTTGACTGGTTCTGCCCATCTGACACTCCTCATCCCCTCGTCCCCTAGGTTGAGGCCTCAGTCTTGGCCTCACCACAATGTGGCACGAGGCTCGGAAGCATGAGCGGAAGCTTCGAGGCATGATGGTTGACTACAAGAAGAGGGCAGAACGGAGGCGGGAATACTATGAAAAGATTGTGAGTGTCCCACCTTTTTTCTGGGGTGGCAGATTCTCTGGTGGGTGGAGCCCTGGTCATCCAGGTACAATTTGGTTGTTCATGGACCTTTATTTTATTATATGTGATGCTGAGACTCGAACCCAGTGCCTCACACATGCTAGACATGTGCTCTACCACTCAGCCCCAGCCCCAGCCCCCCTCATTGTTTTTTGAGCAGGATCAACAGAGAGGGCCTGAGGATGTATGTGTGATAGCACACAGTTTGGAGCAGCCTCTGAGTGCAGATGTGGCATTGGCAGGAAGAAGGGAGGACTTTGTAACACTGAGCAGTGCAGACACAAGACTGCCTCTGCAACGTCATCTGTGTTGTGTATTGCTGTGTTCCTGGGACTCTAGAGTGCTCACCACTCTTGAGGTTTGGTTTGGTACAGAGTAGCCATGCCATACTGATATTCACTAAGTGACATCTGACCACTTCCCTCTCCTGTTTGATGCTTCAGTTGCTTTTGGAGAAAAAAAAACAAACTCCATGTCTTGACCTACAAAGCCCTTGTGGTCTGGCCTCTACTGGCCTCTCTGCTTCTTCTTGGACAGTGCCATTAGCCTTTTTCCACTTCTGCCACCACAGGGCCTTGGCCTGTAATTCCTCCCCTCACTGTTTAACTCCTGCTTGTCCTTGGGTCCCCAGCTTGAAATGGGCCTGTTTACCAGGTTCAATTCTGTTAGATGATTTCACATAGACACTCTGTGTCACTGTGCGGCCTCCTCCTAGCTTCTGGTTCTTTCTCTCTCTTCCACCAACTTTAGAGGGCCAGAGAGGTGTTTTTGTTTATTTGTTTGTTTTGTTTTTTTGTTTGGCAGTGGGCTTGAACTGAGGGGTGCTTTATTGATGAGCTATATCCTCATTCCTTTTTATTTTTGAGACAGGCTTTCACTAAGTTGCTGAGGCCTCCTGCCTCCGTTTCCTGTGTTTCCTGGATCACAGGTGTGCACCCCCTCAGGAAAATCTCTCTAAAGCACAAAGCTAACTTTGTCCCTTGCTCAGAAATCTTTCTTGGCTCCCTAGTGTTCAAGCTCCTCACCACAGCCTTTAGAGTGTGACACCCCCCCCCACTCCCCCCCCAGTGCTGGGGATGGAGCCCTGGGCCTTGTGTATGCTAATCAAACACTGTACCACTTAGTTACACCCCTGCCCACCATGGGCTGGCTTTTGCTCCGACCTCTATACTCATGCCACTGCATTCTGCCTCATTACTTTTCTTAAGCCATTGTGGCCTCCTTGCCATTCTGTCATTTGCCCAAGGGTTCTGACCACAGGACCTTTGCATGACCTCTTCCCATCCTGGTTAACTTCTGTTCATTATTAGATCTCATTCTTCAGGGAAGTCTTATCTTGATCCTCAAACTGAGTTAGGTGTCCCCTATAAATGCCATCATAGTCCATGTCCTCCTTTGTGGAATGTAACAATTTGAAATGTATATATAATATAAAGCATATTTATGAATATATACATATACACACCCCCAACTTTTTGAGATTGGAACTAGGTATTTTTGGATCACATTTACATCCCAAGTTTGGATCTAGCAAATGTGGTTTGAAAGAACAGACAAAGAAAACAGTATTAACAATAGTAGTTGCCACTTAATTGCCCCTTCTTTGGCACCAGGGAGGGTTTTAGATGTGTGGATTTTTTTTTTTTTTTTTTGTACTGGGTATTGAACCCAGCAGTACTCTTATCACTGAGCGTACTACATTTCAGCCCTTTTTATTTTTATTTTGAGACAAGGTCTTGCTAAGTTGCCCAGGCTGGCCTAAAGCTTGTGATCCTCCTGCCTTAGCCACCTGAATTGCCAGGATTACAGGTGTGTGCCACTGCTCCTATCTGTGTGGATGTTTTTGAATCTCACAGATACTCAGAGATCAATGCAGGTTGCTCTTATCCCATTCTGCAGAGAGCAGGAAGCTTCAAGAGCTCCTTGCTTACTATGTTACCCAGGAAGGATCCACTGGGTGGTGAGAAAGACCATCTCTAGTGGTACCAGAATAACTTGAATGTGACTGATGGCAGGGCATGGATCTGTGTTGGTCATGGTTGAGTCCCCAGCAGTGGGTCAGAAGCCAGTAGCATTCAGGCAGTAATAGCTACCATTTATTATTGTGGTATGGTGTGCCAGGCTCCATGCCCACTGCTTTGGTACATCTTTCTTAGTTCTTCCAGCAGGCCTGAGAGGTAGGCAGCAATGATGCAAAGGTGATGACCAGAGGAGCCATTTCTGTTTGGGATCTAAGCTACTTGTTTGTGGTTCTGCTGCGTACAGGTCCTCTTCCCTGTGTTGACTTGAGGTCTGAGAGCTGCTCGGGTTCTAGTCATCGTGTCTTCATCCCATCCAGCAGAGAGGAAGAAGGGAGAGAAAAGGGACAAAGTTGCTCATGTTAGTTAAGAAAGTTCCTAGAGGTTTTCCCATGATCCTTTGCCCATATCCCATTGTCTGGAAAGTAGTCCCATGGTCACCTACAACTCCAGGGAACTAAGAGGTGTAGACTTTGTTCTGGGTGGTCTTGACCAGGTACGGAGTTCTGTTATTACCAAAGCAGGGGATTGGGATTATTGTCAGTTAATGGAAGACAAGAACAGCTCCCTTGAGCTAAGTGTGATGGCTCACGCCTATAATCCTAGCAACAGGCTGAGGATCACAAATTCAAGGGCAACCTGGGCAACTTAATGAGACCCTGTGTCAAAAACATGAAGGGTTGGGCGGGGGTTGTGGCTCAGTGGTAGAACACTCACCTGACACGTGTAAGGCACTGGATTCAATCCTCAGCACCACATAAAAGTAAATAAAGTCAAGGCATTGGGTCCGTCTACCACTAAAAAACCCAAACAAACCATAAAGGGCTGGAGTGGTAGAGCACCCTTGTCCTCAGTACTACTGCCCAGAAAAAGAAGGAAAAAAAAAAAAACAGGCGTGGTGGCACACAGCTCTCTTGCAGATTTCTTAGTGTTGGCCATGTAGACCTCTGAGTGTGAGCCTGCCTAGAGGAACCACTGTCCAGTAAATATTACCTCTTATTGTGAGTGAGAGTAATTGTGGTAGAGTGGTAGCATAGAGCTGGAATTTTGATCTAGGCCAAGGGGTGGCAGAGAGGAAAGAAAACTCAGGAGGCCTGGGATTCTGGGCTTCCTTCTTAATAAGTTGCCTCCTAGCTTGATTCCCCTCAGGACAGTGGTGGTGGCAGCCCCTGCTGCTAGACTGGGAGAGCTCTGAAACAAGTGTTTGTGGGGTGCTTTGTGGTACAGGCCTGTACAAGCAGCCAATGTCCCTGCACAGGAACGTGATCTGCATTCAGAAGTGTGCTGCCAGGCTGTGGGAGAGGGCTGGCCAGTGGCTGGTGGCTGCTTTGAGGAGGGGATGGGCTGCTTACGCAGGCCCCCCATCATCTTGGGCTGAGATAAGAGACTGAAGGGCATCTGTGAAGAAACTGAGGGTGGCTGATGGGCTGAAGGAGTGCGTCTGGACACAGCTGCTTTCTCTCTTCCTGATTTGTCCTTGGTGCCTCCTCTTTCCCTGTTTCAGTTTGTACCTGACTCTGGTTCTGTCATTGCTCTTTAGTCAGTGGTTTGATTAAAGAAACAAAGTCCTCTGTTGACATGAAAATGGAAGATAAACAGATGGCCAGCTGTAGGAAGGTCCAGGCTGGCTCCCCAGGCTGGGTCAGCATTCCCCTAGGCTGCACTGCACATGCTAGGTCATTTCTGTGTGGGACAGGTGTGTGTCCCACACTGCACTGTGAACCAGGAGGGCA